CAACAACGGATCCAGGCCTGTGGTATTTAGACATTAATCTAAAAAAAAAAATCAGAAGTGTGTCCTTGCTTTTAGCTCAATCCACACTATCAAATTTTGTGTGACAAATAATGCGATTTGTTCATGTATGAGGAATGCCATCCCAAAACCAGTGTACTGTCACTTTATGTTAAACTGAGTAATGAACATAAGAATGTGGCTTTTATATATACTTCAGTACAGAGAAGCCGTAAGACTTTTACTCATAACTTTGGTGCTAGAAGTCGATTCCAGTAATACCATCATTTTAACGCTTAGGCGAGACTTTTTTTATTACTTGCTTCGCATACTTATTTTTTTAAAGATTATTGAAGGAGGGTGGAATAAAAATAAAAATAAAACTTTGTGTTATTACTCAGCAAATAGTTTTGCCAAAATCATCATGACAAAGGAGAAAATAAAAATAAAACTTTATTGGTGAATATAAAATAGGATGGTTAAATGCTTCAAATTTATATAATTAGGAAGAAATATACATATCTTATCTTTGGCGATTTCAAGGCAGCGGAGGGCGTAAAAAAAATAAAGAAAACCTTTTTTTTTTTTTCCACTTTTTCGTGGCGGCAGGTGTGATAATTGGCCAAAAATGAAATTTTATTTTTATCAATATTTGCAGTCGGTGAGTTCGCTAAACTAGGTACAAAAGAAAAGTCTTACAATGTTGAGGATATGAATATATTAAAAAGTCAATTTTGATTTTTTTTATTGGTACCTGATCCAGTTTTGGGGATGGCAAGCCTCCTGGGTATAATTTAAAGTTCAAGTTCAAGTTTTATTTCAAAATATCATCATTGTAGCTTTGCAGCTAAATTGCGAATGATACATTAGGGAAAAAAATAGACCTGGGTCTATACATTGCACAAAGATTACGAAACAACATTTATATATAAATTCAAAATATAAGGGTAAAGATACACAACAGTAAAAATATATTGATTTAAAAATTAAACTATTAAACTATGATTTAGGTTTAGGATGAACTGATTAATCTGGGCTTAATGTTAATATTGAGGTTCAAGTAGATAATGCAAGTCTTAAGTATTTTGCTGGTTTAAGATACTAATGAGGTATGGAATTGGGCTTTGCTTGTATCTATTAGTTCTGAAAGTAGGTGGTTTGAATTGATTTTTCTTTCTCAAACTATATTGGTAGTCTATTTGAGCAGGTATCCAGGATCTAAAATTTGGTGATTTGCATAGTTGTTGAGCAAATTCTAAGCATAATTTGTTTCTTCTACACTCCGAAGTGTCAGTAGAAGTGATTTGAAATCATTATGCCCATATGAGAAAATTACAAACAAAACAAGCACAATTTTTTTTATAACACAGGCCCTTCAAACTCTACTTCCTTTCATGGATCCTTAATCCAACCCTACTCTATTCTGAAATTTCATTTAGTGTGAATTTTCCAAGAGCAGCATAACTCCACTATGTGTGTAATAAACCAATGTGTACATTGTTTTTCTTGTTTCAGCTGGCCAACAGAGGGCAGAAATACAAGTTATTATGCTTTGCACCATCTTGCGAATAGATGTTAAGAACTTGTTTGTGTTAAGTCTGTACACACATCAGAAGAAGAATAGGTAAGATGTGCAATAAATAAAAAAAAAAACAAAATGAAATTGTGCACACAAAAGGTATCCAGTGGTAGCTCCCGATATAAGACAATTATAGTTCTGAACCAAAGGGCAACTCAAATCAGGGGCAGATTTAGGGAGAGGCGGGGCGGCCGCGAGCCCCGACCTCCTTTGGAAAGTAAAATAAAGAGAAAAAAAAAGAAAAAAAAAATTCATCGCCCAAAACGCCTTTGATGCTATTTTCGGGCATCTAGAAACCAAAAAATTTTGCAAAGGCATGACTCCGGACCCCCTATGTTGGTTTTATCTCTATCGGCCCCATTTTTGGACATCTCTGATTTATAATAATAATAATAATAATATGTCGTTCTTACATAGCGTTTCATGCCTTTACAAGGCCTCTAAGCGCTTCACATTACTACCCCGGTCATTGGATCAAACACATGGAACACATTGAAACAACAAATTAAATTAGTAAATGAAATTATATTATCATCCCATAAATTGCAGCAGTAATCAGCGCAGGTTGTGTTGGAACCTACCAGGTACCCACTTGTACTCCTGGGTGGAGAGAGGCAACTGTAGATAAAGTGCCTTGCCCAAGGACACAAGCGATTTGCACAGCCAGAGTTTCGAACCCCAGACCTCAAGATTGTGAGTCCAAGCCACAACAGGTGTGCCAACCGCTCCTACGATTTATGGTTTATGGATCTCCTGGTTTATGTGATAGCCCAAAATTGGGTTTTTTTTAACCATAAATTAGGGATTGGCAATCAAAATTATGTACACATCAGATGGAAGAAAAGGCAAAAGGTATAGTAAAATAAAACAAAATAAAATATGCACACGAAAGGGGTAGGGTGGGGTTTATGGGGAGAGACTTTTAGAGTGCTTTTAGACCACAATATTTTGAGACTGACAATGAAAATAATTTGTTTTTTGGTCGCCAAATTTATATTCACACCTTCCCCGCTGGCCTCCCACCCCAATCCTACACCCACAAAAAAGAAAAAAAAATAGAAAAAAAATAGGACCAAACATGACCTTTAACATTATAAAGGTGGCAGGTTAACCAGAATGTTAAACACTGGATATACCTATATGATTGAACTTAGTACAATCTTACTATTTATTCCCACACCTGACTGTACAAAACAGTAGAAACATTTTCCTCCACCTTGTTCATATCAATACCAGTAATTATTATCTACAGTAACATAAACTGGCAGCTATATGCCCCAAGTTATTCATAGTGTAAAAGAGTAGGGTATTAGCATGCAATAATTTGGTAGTTACATCGTAGTTCACACGCTTATCTGAGAGTCTATTACCAGCCTTAGGATAAACAGCATTTTCTACTGAGATGTAAAGAAAACATGCCAAGCTTTGCCTTCAATTTACATTACTCCATCTAGAGAGACCTACATAGGAATAACCCGGAGACCAGCGGCAGATCTAGCACTTTGAAAAATGGGATGAGGCCGCACTTTGAAATCTGAAGGCATATCTATTTATATTATTTTCCTTCATTTTAATAAATAATAATACTTTAATAATAATAGTGTAGACTTGTATAGCGCCGGTATCCATCATATGCTGGATGCTCATGGCCGTTGATGTGCGGACTAGTAGCTCGACTTTATTCCCTTCATGTCTGTGCAACTTGGTTAACCGGTACCAGCAACTCTCTAGTCTTCCAGCACAGGGGCTGTCTCCTGTCTGTACCTAGCCTAATTCTAAGTGTGTATAAGCCAATTTCAGATAGACGGGACTGGAAATATTGCACTAGCAATGGCAGTATGAAACCATCATGCACCTTTTCATATCAACCATCTATTGCGGTGATATTGCGGTAATATAATGCCTTTCACTATGCCAGCATGTTATTGGTAGTGTCGTTTGTTTTTTTTTTTAAATGGAAGTAGGCCTGTCAAATTTCTTTTTCCATTCTCTATATCTGTCAAATTTTCCATTATCCTATCAATTTTTTTTCAACATCTGATGCAAAGTAGTGTAGCGGAAATTTTGCACTGATATTACTAGGTCCGAGATGGAATGTCATGTAACCCCAATATTGCAGCTACAGTAGTTTCTCTGACATTTTCATACAAAAGGCAATGCTGGGAATATTCCCCTATCTATCCTACAATTGCGTCATAGTTCATGCTGAGCCTTTTTTTTTCCTAGCCAAGGTATAAAGGGCGCCACCATAATGAAAATCATTTCCATTAACTCTAATCAAACACAAACAAACAAATAGTATCTATTTTTATATCATTAGTCACGTGAGTTCACGTTCTGGTGACCACTGCCAGCAAGTTTATGTGCAATACAATAGTGGTATATTTAGATAGAGTGGACGTGAACTCATGTACTTTGGCGCCCCGAGTGAACCCTGTCGTGCTTAACTCATGTCCCCGGTAGCAAACTTGTTAAACCAAAACAAGTACATCTGTTCATGTTTTCATCAATGCCTGTTCAGAAATCCAAGTAAATTTTCTCATTGTTTAGGTAAATAGTTTTCTCTTTTCTTTTTCTTGGGTTTATTCATGTTAATGCAAGACACTTCAATTTCATAACCAAAATCCTGGCTGATGGGTGAGGGGGACCAATGCAAAAACAAAATTCCATATATCACTGAGATGTGTGCCAGAGCATTCATATTATATTAGTAACAAGTGCTAAACTAAATTGGAAATGACGGTCCGACGGCCAATCTTGTGTCACATTTATCATGCTAAATTCACGAAGGCTTTGCGATTTTTCCTCCCGGGAGACTGAATGTCAAATATAGTATTATATTTAGAATTTTTGTTTTACAGATATTATATCTCACAAGAACTGAAACAGTAGGTGGTTATTTTTTTTTTCTTCTATTTTCATAGGCACTAACTGTAGGTGAGGAACTTATTAAGAAATAGGCCAGGGATTGCCTGTAAGATATTTAATTTAAGTGGTGTTTTTGGCTTGAGAGGACACACACCGTCGTGAGGACCTTGGTATAGAAGGCAAACACTTGAAGGTCCATTAAAATTCACAAAGGTTTTGCAAAAAAAATTGCGATTTCTGGTCATCTAGAGGTGCCATAGCCACATGAGTCTGAGGTTGTTTAGACCTTTCAACTTAAAATTTCCCCCTCCCAAAAAAGGCTATTCATTGTATAGCAAAAGCAAAATACTGATTTAAAGTAAATGGCAGTTTTGTACGATTTAAATCCAAGAAAGATTCGTAAGTTGGACCTACAAATAATTTCATTTCTTGCAAACATCCAGTTTGGCTGACAGCAACATCATGACACTATGGCTAGGCCCAAGAAGCTAAAGTAAGATCTGCCCATGTGACAACTTAGTAAATTACAATTCCAAATTTTTCTAACATACAGTACCTGGATTTCATCCATTGCTGGAATAAGTGAAGAAATGGCTTCACAGGAGAATCGGACACCAGACGGACTAAAGAATACAATATAATCTGGGACACCCTGAAAAACATAAAAAAATATTTAATCAATTTCTCACATATTGTTATCTATATATTTATTATATCTTATAAATTTGAATAATTAATCTCCATTTAATTACTAAATAATTTCTACACAATATATATAATAATATTAACAATAACATTCAACAAAATATTAATAATAAATCTTAATATCTAAACAAGAAATATAAAAATAAGAAAGTCATAGCAAATATTTATAATAAGAAAAATATTAATAAAAAAAATGAATCCAATAGAACATGTCAGAAATAAATTAGACAGCTGTGTTACCCAATAGATCAAAGTGCAACAATTGTATTATTTTAAACTGCTGTAGTTAGAGTTATGAAAATTTTAATTCTAATCATTAGCAAATCTATTTTAGGATCCTGTTCTCTAAAAATACCTGAAGGGTTTAGAAACACTATGACCCACTTTATAAGATGTAAGCCAGCTGGTGGAGATTCCCGTGCCAATGTCTGTAGCAATTCAATTCCCTGTCAAATTACACCAGCAATGGAAATTTAATTACCAGAGTATCTGATAGGATTGGCTATAAAGAGCTCCTCGTCTGTTTTGAAACTAATCAAAGCATTGTATGATGTTCCTTCACACCTGTGCACTTAAAGTGGCTTTTACGAAGTAACAACATAATTTTGTGCCGACTTTAATATTAATAAAAATAAGGATAACTACGACACTAATAATAATAATTATTATTACATCATTAACAATAATTTTTAGATAGAATAAAAATAGTATAATTATTTTTGGCTGGAAAATAACAATATATAACAATAATAAATAGAAAACATAAACAATAAAAGATTCAAAATCGAAAGGCAAACTACTACTATTTAATAATAATAAAATAATAATGGAACAACATTTTTAAAAATGAAATAAAAAAAATATAGATTATGATCAAAGTACTATAAAATACATAAAATCATGGAGATTTAAAAAAAAATAAAGTAACAATAACAATAAAAATAATAACAATAAAGTTATATTCGAATTTAAGTCTGAGAGTGCCATTTCTGGACATCTGGAGGTGTCACAGCCACAAAATTTTAAACTTCAGTGCCAACCACGGTCGGGATGAGGTGGTGTAGATCCTCCATCGATAAAAATCCCTCCCTAGACCACCTCTATTTTGAATTTCTGAACCTGCCAATGATCCCTACAGCGCAACCATCCTTTCGAAATGCCAGATATACTCCTATAAGGATATACAACACTTGGTATGCAGTGTTACGAAGGGTTTAATCATCTTTTTCCATGTGTTCTTTCATGCATGTTTCAAGCGTGGAGGTCCAATATGAAAGTGATAGCACAGATCTATGTTAGTGGCATCACATTCATGCTCCGGAGGATGTCACTAATGCGAACAAAATGTATGCTTGTATTCATAGTGGTGGTCTGTTGTAGCACCTGTGTTTTCTCAGACTTGTAGTATCAGGTTGTGTATTCTATTTTCAGAGACTGTCATTTGATAAAATTTAAATGTAGTGAAACACCTGGATTGGAGAATATACCCTAACTCTCAATAAACTCTATCAGTGTAATAAAACATGAATTAGTTGTATTAACTTTTCATTGAAATCTAGTTCACCAGATTTGTGTTCATCATAAACAAATTCATAAGAAGTGGTATGCAAGCTATTGTTGTCATAACATTTAATAAACCAAGTTTCAGGAGAAGTCAGCTGTACCGCCAGGCTCACAACCAACCACAAAAAAAAGAGTCCTGGAGGAGTCCAGCAAAATTGGTAATTTTGGATCTATTTTTAAGCTCGAGTTATGAAACATATTATGCATGGAACATATATAATTCTTTTTCATTTAAACCCCTCCAACTCTGCTTCACATCCACCCCCATCCCCGCGGATCGCAACTGGTTATAGCTTGGTACATACTGTACATGCCATATGATCTGAGGGTCCTGGGTACATGTTTAATTTGACAATTAATTTTTTCTTTTCTTTTGTTGTTCTTCTGGTATTAGCCAGTCCACATGAACACAACATTGGGTCAGTTTTGGGGCATGGGCTTATACCAGAGGGGGGCTCTTTTGTGGAATAATTTAGACTTCAATATAAAAAATTCAAGCACACTAGAACTTTTTAAAAGAAACATAGTAATGTAATAACCATTAGTATGTATTATATATATTTGTTTTTTCTTTGTACTAACACTTAATTATTTTAATCTAACACAATTATTTTGTTTAATGTCCATACGGCCTCGTGGAAGAACACCCACTTGGGCTGTCTCTTATACACATCTAGATGTGTATAAGAGACAGCATTCTAGTTCAACAGATTTGTGTTCATCATAAACAAATTCATAAGAAGTGGTATGCAAGCTATTGTTGTCATAACATTTAATAAACCAAGTTTCAGGAGAAGTCAGCTGTACCGCCAGGCTCACAACCAACCTCAAAAAAAGAGTCCTGGAGGAGTCCAGCAAAATTGGTAATTTTGGATCTATTTTTAAGCTCGAGTTATGAAACATATTATGCATGGAACATATATAATTCTTTTTCATTTAAACCCCTCCACCTCTGCTTCACCCCCACCCCCCATCCCCGCGGATCGCAACTGGTTATAGCTTGGTACATACTGTACATGCCATATGATCTGAGGGTCCTGGGTACATGTTTAATTTGACAATTAATTTTTTCTTTTCTTTTGTTGTTCTTCTGGTATTAGCCAGTCCACATGAACACAACATTGGGTCAGTTTTGGGGCATGGGCTTATACCAGAGGGGGGCTCTTTTGTGGAATAATTTAGACTTCAATATAAAAAATTCAAGCACACTAGAACTTTTTAAAAGAAACATAGTAATGTAATAACCATTAGTATGTATTATATATATTTGTTTTTTCTTTGTACTAACACTTAATTATTTTAATCTAACACAATTATTTTGTTTAATGTCCATACGGCCTCGTGGAAGAACACCCACTTGGGTGAACGAGTTTTTTGACCGTTATAAAATAAAGTTGTTATTATTATTATTATAAATTCCCTTTTCAATATATGGGTAATTTTTCAGAACTCCATGTTTTAGTTAAAGTCAATTTTTGATTTTAGTTTCTGAAAGTAGTAGGATTAAACATAGCTACTCATTCATATCCTTTTGCCAGAGGAAAGGCTGTTATGTAAAAATTGGGTGGGAAATGGGCTTATACCCGAAGAAACTACAGTACGTGAATCGAAGATTTTATAATAACAAGATAGAACTCTCTGCGGTTTGCATTAACAAATTAAAAGCGTCCATTCACGCAGAACGCAACAGAAAGTAACTGTGATTGAGAGAGGGCATCCTAGTCAAAAGTAATCGTAATTGCAAGAGGGTGCCATACACTGTGTTACAGAATTTGTACGCTGAAATCGCAGAGAATGGCATCTTGTCATTATAACGTCTTTGATGAGAATTCATGTTGAGGTACAATACTCACTTCATTTTTAATTAAGTTTCTAAATGATTCATCTATCTCTGGATGTGCTGTTGTTTCATACACAGTGACACTTTCAAAGGATATTCCTGTGGTATTAAATAAACATTACAATCAAATATTTATTCATTAAAACATATATACTCAGATTATCATTACAGAAGTTACCCAAGCACAGATGAAACAGAAATCCAAACCAAATCAGATTATTTTGTAAAATAAGAAATTACTTAGAGGAAATTAAATCAAAATTAGAATACACACCTCAGTTCAGCAAAAAGATGCAGGACAGGTGGATCTGTAAATTTTTTTAAGGGGAACTGAACTTAAGTCTATAGAATGGAAGGTAGACAACTGCTGTCACTGAGGAAATTGACAAAGCTTAAAGTCATACAGAAAAATTTGAAGATTTAAAAAAAATAAACAGTATCTAAGAGTCTTAAAATTGGGGGGGGGGGGAGGGAATAATGGGATAATGGGGTGAAAAGCTGATGTTGGGAGCTCAACGATTATGTGAGGGGCAAATAAGGTGATATGAGGTGATTTTTAACTACTATTTCTCGTGATTCAAACATTTCCAGTGAGGGAAGAGTTCAACAAGCTCTTATTGAGGGGCATGCTCCCCACACATCCCCTTGATATGTCAATGGAAATACTGTAAATCCTAAAAATCTGTAAAACATGCAAGATACATGAAATAAACTATTAGTATTAAATAATCAAAAATATAAATTAAACCAATGAAAAAACTAGTTAAAATTTACTTGTTATATAAGGCCTATAAATAAATGATTTTTTAAATTATACTAACCCCTTATAATGATATAAGAAAAAGCATGCAAAAGAATGTGGAAGAAAAATACTTTCCCTTGGGCATATAACCTCCTCGCTACACATCATTCAGTTACTTATTATAAAATTAAAGGTAATCAAGATTGTTACTGTAGTATTGGGGGATACAACACAACACAGGCTATTCACCATAAAAGTGTAGGCTGCAACACATTAATTTTTGGCGCTGCTAAGTACAGCCTTAACATCGGCGCTGGTTCAAGCCGCTCCTCGCCCAGGGTTCAGTTGTCAGAACCAAGTCTTCTCGGATAAGGACTTAAAATAGAGGTCCAGTGTACACATCTGGCTCATGCTCAACCATTGCATCTTTCGGAAGAGTAGTGGGTTATCCAAATGCTATAGTCTATTTCAGGCACTTGTCGTGAAATTACGTGAACATGAAACTACTATAAGTGCCTCTTTACGGCTAGGTAGTCTGACCACACCCATACGCAATTCAGCACAATGATACTGCGAGTTATAGCTTATTTTCCTACCTTTAATCTTTAACTAATCATTGGTATCCATCAACCACTCCACTCACCCACCCACCCAAATTATAAGAAAGTCTCTACATTCTTCTAGCTTCTAGGCATTTCATGTCTTTTAGTATGCTAATGCTATTACCTAGGATTTCAGTATGTTGCAAACCCAAAGTTCCTAAGTATGTAGCCTTGTTCACTCACCCTCACTAATCAAATTTTTGAAAATAGGGAATCAGTTTGTAGCACTTTTATATGATACGATTTTATTCACAAGCTTTTGCCCCCAATTGATGGGGCTTCATCAGGTGTTTTTTTTACCCAAAGCAATTAGTAGTGGTGAACTCAAGGGTGAAGGGAGGGGTAGCCACCCCACTCCTCCATAAATTTTATTAACTTTGAAAAAAATAGAGAAAAAAAGAAAATTATATTTAAATTTTAAGTCTGATAGTGCCATTTCTGGCCATCTAGAGGTGCCATATCAAATGTTCTTACCCCATGGTGGGGTGGTTGGGGCTGAAGTGGTACAGACATCCCATGCCCTCTATATTTCTAATTCATGGATTCTCCATTGATTGAAATGGTAAAAAAATTGTTAAATTGTGTTCAAACATAGTATTATGGGTTTTTAACACTTAATTTGAAAAGCCATTACACTAAAATGTTTTCCTATTTTGTGCTACCAAGAAAACAAGAGATGCTCTTATCAACAACTATGTTTTTCTTGGAACCAGAAACTCCCTCAGCCATTCTTCTGGAAGTCTGCCCCCTGGACACTAGCATGACAAACATGATGAAGAAATACGAAATATTTAAGCCTTCACATCAACTAGCTAGTACTAATTCTACACTCCAAGATGATGAGAAAAAAATGTAGATAAAAATGTGTTGCCTAAAGAAAACAAACATCAGAATTGTTTATGAATTCAGAACTCTACAAATGGTTTGAGCGAATCCTTGCCAAAAGCTATAGCATGCTTTCGCAAAACACATTCTTGGAAAAAAATTTCTTTCAATTTTATTTATTACTATTTTCCTGCTTTAATTTAATTATTTTGTTTATGTTAAAGATCTAGTTTAATTTTTATACTTCTTTTCTAATTGTATGTACTGAGGGTTCCAATTGATCAGCTCAGATTGTATGGACCATCCACACAAAATATTGTTGAAATAAAAAATAAAAAAGGAAAATACAAAGAAAAGAACAAATTTAATTTGGATTAAGGCAACAGAACATTACTTTACAGGGGAATTGAATAAAATCGGTTCATTAATTCATGGAAAAAAGACTACGTATCCAACTACTCAACATTGTTGGAATATAATAATATATTGCCTATGTCTTTGATTTCTTTTCTCTATGTGTAGGCCTAAACTAAATCCTAGGAATCAGATGAAATTACCTGACCTTTTTCATTGCAAAAGCCCACTAAATGAATTGAAGACCAACAAACATTAAGGTCTGTTTGACCATTGTGTATGCCCATATATAGTCATGATGTGTCTATATATGGTCATATTTAGGCATGCCACAATAAAAGTTGATAGTCTGGATAGGTAGGCTTTATGCGGCATGCTCTTTCAAGGGCAAACATATGTTAAGGTTTGTGACAGTGGCCACTGTTAAGACATTGAAACATTCCTTCGTAACCACAGTCACGTCTACTTGGTAGATGGTAGGTTTCAAGTTTACATTCTCCAGCTAAATGTTATGCACATTAATGGATATCAGTAACACAAATAAATGGAAAGCCGACCATGCGATGGCTTATGTAACGAAACAACATAAGGTCACAATCACAACACAGTAGCGTGAATATTTTCATCACTTAACCCGTTTGGGGTTTCGCAATGATAGCATGTCCTACAGGACCAGCTGATCAAACCAAATGTCTTAAATCTAATTGACCTACCTTCATCGTCCAATGACTGGGGTATAGTTTCTCTACGAAGGTTACCGCACGGAAAAAGGAGAGGGCGACCACTGGGAGCATAGCCTGCGGTGAAACACGTTTTAAAATAAAATTGATAGATTGAAAATGTACACATAGTGCATGATAACATGATTCCCAGCTGTTCCACCATATCTACAACATATTAATCAACAGAACAACATACATGTATGCAGTCCCATATGAAACAATTATAACAAGACTTTATTCAACCTCACTGGCACATTGACAACTTCGTAACATTGAAGCGATATTTGGTATGATGTACAACCTCAAAGGAGTTGAAATTTAAAAACATCAATAGTATACTATTGAGATAAACACAGTTAGGAGGTTGTCATCTTTGCTTATTTGCTCATAGTCGAGTTAGGAGGTTGTCATCTTTGCTTATTTGCTCAAACAAAAAAAAAAGTATTTCTAAGTAATGTAGTTATCGTTAGTTATAAATCAAAGAATATATTATTTATGAAAACAGAATAATTTATATGAAATTTGATTAAAAATTATTTTCTATTGGTAGGTATAAGTTATCTCTAAATAAGAAATACAATAATGTCTATATAAAAATCTGTTCAAATGAACAGATTATGTAGAATTGTTTTGTCTGTTGATATTTATACTTCCGTTGATGTTATGTTAAGTTCACTTGCATGGAAACAACTACATGTAAGGTAGAATGAACAGATAGCCTTAATGATTTTTAAATGTTTAAAAGGGTATGCGCCATCTTATTTATCATCTAAATTTAAATTTAATATCGAATCCCATTCAAAATGTACACGTAGTCAATCTCATAATAACCTTTTTGTACCACAATGGAAGAACTGTCAAGGCAAGATAACTTTTTGTATCGCTCAACAAAGTTGTGGAATGCACTTCCACACGAAACAACAACAAATTTCATGAACATGTCTATTATATTTTTTAAAAACTCTTTTAATTCTTAATGACTTTTATTATGACATCTATTTATATATATGTATGTTTTTTAATTACTTTTCTTTTAACTTTTGTATTTTATGAAACTGTACCACTTTGAAAAACAGTACACAAGTACTGAAAGTGCATTGCAGTAGAAAGACAGAATAAATAAATAAATAAATAAATAAATAAATAAATAAAAAACAATTATTTTCTTTTGAAACCTGTAGGAAAATTTTAAGTAACTAAAAAATTAAGTTAAAACATTTAAATTGCACATATAAAAATATCAAATAAATTATCAAAATCCAAAAATGTTACCACTGATTTATAGAGTTTTTACTACGAAAATTGATTCGACTGGATTGGATTTATTCAGTGTAAACACCAAGGATAACCCACAAAAGTAGGAAACTTATTTGTAGTGGGGAACTTCTGATGGTCATTGGGCAGTGCACAACCCCATACTCGTTTTGAAGAGAGTCATTCTTAACATGCAAATGGGCCATACTGCACACAGGACCGCCGGATAAAACATCTCATCTGAAAGACAGTTCACTGTTGAAGAGCAGCGATGGGAACTAGAAATGCTCGTAAAAGCATAGCCTCTTCACATTGTGATTTTTCTCTGAGAATTGATGAGTAATAGTTTGAAACCAATCAGTCTTAACAAACTTTAGTCATCGTGGTAACAAACAATTTTCTACACCAGTGACAATGACAACAACATGAAGAATATTACAATTTCAACTAAATTAAAAGTTTTTATGGGAATTATGATGATGGTATGGTAAATTTCCTCATTAACGAAATATTAATTACGCAATAAGCATAATCACACATGTACCAAAAAAAATAGGCTTTGTCTTCTTATTACCATCTTGCATTCTGTAAAGTTTAAAACCAATCAGACTTACCAAACTTTGGTGTAAATTTCTTGATCAATGAATATTAATATATGCAAATGAGCAATCAGTATATTCACACACATACCAAAACCAAAAGCCTGTCACTTTATCACCATATTGCATTGAGCAAAATTTGAAACCAATCAGAATGACCAAACTCTAGTTATTGTGTTAACTAACTGATAAGTGAAGTATTAATGCATTGAGCAATTAGCATATTCACACATGTACTAAAACAATAGGCTTAATCTTCTTATTAACATCTTGCATTCTGTAAACTTTGAAACTAATCGGACTTACCAAACTTTATCTATTGTGTTAACTTGCCTAAATTACCTGATTAGTGAAATATTAATTATGCAAATGACCAATTAGCATATTATTAACACACATACAAACAACTATGCTTGCATTCTGTCAACTTTGAAACCAATCGGGCTTACCAAATGTTATCTATTGTATTAACTAGCCTAAATTACCTGATTAGTGAAATATTAATTATGCAAATGAGCAATTAGCATATTATTAACACACACACACAAACAACTATATGCTCTGTCTTCTTATTACCATCTTTTAATCTGCCAAGTTCTAAATCAATAGACTTACCAAATTTTACTTCTCATGATAATTAGCCTAAATTACCTGATTAGTGAAGTATTAATTATGCAAATGAATAATTAACATATACACATGTACCAAAAAATAGGCCCTGTCTTCTTTATCAGAACTATCTTATATTCTGCTTCCTTTGAGGAGGCTAATTAAGCTGGGAAGCAAGAGATCTCCATGTGATTTTACTAGTCAATAAATAATATTTATGCTGAAAAACATTATTCATATTCTGTAACCTAACATTCAAAATCAATATTCTAATTGTTTTTCTGTAACATAACACAATATTCTCAGAAACACAACTTTGGAAAACAATATATTGAGTATTTTTGCAAAACATATCTCAAAGCACATCCAGTGTGCACTAGCTGAAACTGGAAATAAATTGCCAAAAGCATTTTAATGGAATATACTATCTATAATAATTCAATTATCATTGCTGAAATACTGCTGTGTAAATGAAATAATATATATTGTAAATAGTTTTTTATATTTCAAAAATTCAAAAGAATATTGACTGAATATGATATACACCATAACAAATAATTTAACATTTAAGTAATTTTATCCATAACACATTTAGACAGCATTGGAGAGTAACTGATTCCATAACCATTTAATAATCTGTGACCTTTTAACCTCTGATTATCATCACAATAATGTTTGGAGTGCCACGGTTGGTGTTCTGATAAAAAACATCACTGCACTCTGTTAAAAATAAGTAAGAAATTTAGGATTTGCCTTGAAGGATTTATTAAGTAGTCTGTGAGGGAAAAACCTGGTTTTTATTTTGAGTGGCAGTAAAATAATTTGAAATCTGCATTTCAAAATCTGAACATAATTAAATTACCATTTTCTTCCACATTACTCTAGATTCAAGTGGTAATTCTATGAGGAATATTATAATCTTGCATTAATCCTGCTGCTAATATACACATGATATGAGCTCTTAAACATTTTGTTGCGTTGTGATGTAAATTGTAATGTCATTATATACTTGCACCAATAGACGGATGTCCATATATTAAGAATTACTTTAAAGTATACAAAGAAAGTATTTTCAGTAAAGTTCACACTACAAACTTGTGTGTGACACATTTGTGTGATGTGCCCATAATATATGGACATGGCATGATGAGGTCATATTATATTAAAATATGGGCATATCATAGTTATTTGTCACATAGAATTTGACAGTGTGGACAAAGCTATACATCTTTGGTGACACCTTTACTCTTATACTGTCTATATCCTACAAAATGATAATTTTGAATTGTTTTTGGCAAAGATGTATACATGTATACTGGGGCAAAGACAGTTTCACCATAAACAGTGCCACATTCCAGCAGTGGTTCCAGTTGTAGTACATGGGGCAACTATCCTCCATAATTTTAATTTAAGTATAACAAACTAAAAGTATTGTGAAGTATATACTGTATTTACCTGTCTTGATAGTTTTAACAAGATTTTCTGCATTTCCTGAGTCAGCACCAATGGGGATTAAACCAAGTTCCTTTACAAATTCACCACTGGCTTGGCCAACAGTGTAGGCAGGGAGCGAATGCCATTTAGGAATCAGGTTGGCCTGCCACTCTACAAAAAAAGAACATCAATGCTGACACAATCTTTGATTGATTCTATTGATTGATTAAATGATTCTATTTGTAGCATCATTGCTTTTTTTACTCATTCACTCACCTCATCCCTCCTCTTGCACTGTGTTCTCCCTCACCATTACCAAAAGAAGATAAACGACAACAATTTTTGATAATTCTGTTGGTTTGACTGGATTTAAATAATGGTGTCTATAGTGATGATTGTGGTAAGTAAAGGCACTTCAGACTTAGTGGTTTATCGTTGGTATGAACAAAATTACACCACCACCTCCTTGCCACACACAATGGTTAACACAAGTCTCAACCAACTATGCCATTATGCTGGTAGTGGTGGTTGTGATACTTCCAACACCCATTGCAATCCCACCAAGTAAGAATAAGGCATACCCTTTAATGATGAGTTGTTCTCAATGGATTTGTTAACAGCTTCAACAGCTCTTGGACTTGAAAAGATTATGCCACCATACTTTTCTGGCTGGGCGATCTGTTCATAAAGCTCCTTTAAGTTGAAGAATTTGAAGCTTAGAACTTGAATAAGTGTAACTAAAAGACCTTCTGACCTCAGAACCTGGAATTAAAAAATCAACTTAAAAATGTTGGTGGAAAATTTAATAGTTTGTGATTATGTATGTAGGTGCAGGCAATAGTGATGCTAGTGAGTTGGGTAGGGGAGGGAGAGAAAGCAACACAATTACAATTTGATGTGGAAAGAAACAAAAAATTCTATGTAATTTTTACGGAATGAGAGACTCTAAAATCGATTAAATAAGCCTTTCAAATCCATAAAATATTAGAGGGGTTCTGTGTTGATTCTGGCGCCACCCAGAGTGCTGCCATTGTGGAAGGAGCCCCCTGGAACATCTCCACCCTGTCGGTGACTTCAGAATCATGTCAGGCAAATTCTGGCTCCACAACTGGGTGCAGGAAGGAGAGTCACTGAGATTAAAATCCTGAACTTTAAGGTCTAAAAATTTGATTCACACTTTGACTGCTTGCTTGTATTCTTGGGAAAGACACTTTATCCATTTTGGTTTTTTTTTTTAGAAATGTCCCTATCAGGACTCACATCAAATGCTCTCTGTTTTCTATTTAATTCCTCTGCCATCTGAGCTTTAATGCCAAGATGGCACTGTATACTCCCTTGGATTTACTATCCTATTTCAAGGATTGGTGTAAATTGGGATTATGTCAGTGTGAAATGCACCAAGTACAGTATAACGCACAGTAGTCTGAAGACTTATTTCCAGTGGGGTCCTTCTAGTAGTGAATTGGGCAGTACAACCAGAGATAATCCTCCACTTTTCTCCAGTGTGTATGGTTTCTTTAACATGGGCCATTACTGCATAAACATCTCCTGAATACGGGGGGGTTAGCAAAAATTAAAGGAGAGCATCTGGATGGAACTGAACTATTTTTGTCATTATTATCAAAATAAATGTTATCTGAACCTAAATCTGAATCTGAACTAGAGACTGTGTAAAAATCGGAAGTGGTTTTGCGCAGTGGAAATGTTTTGGTTTCCCAACCTCGAGGTCAGGGTTTCAATCATTCGCTTTGCATTTCGCTTGTGTCCTTGAGCAAGGCCCCTTCTACATTGCTTCACAGTCTATCCAGCTGTATCAGTGGGTAGAAGCAACTTGTTGAGAGTAACCTACAGTGGACTAGTGCCCCACCCAGGTTATCACACTCTCATCCACTTCACGCTACAGAAACTGGGGATAATACAGCCCTATAGCCACGAAGCTCAGAAAGGATTTACTATAAAGATCTCCATGGTTCAGAGCACTCTTATAGTGGCTATGACTAGTTAGGTCCGATGAGTTATTGCTCCTTTCTGAAATTTGCATTTAATCCACGTTGTCTCTATCTACCCAGGAGAAAGCAGGTACCTGGTAGATTTTTAAATGCCAATGGACTGATCATTTCTAGCTGTAATATTATAGAATTCTCCCCAGGGTGCTAATGTGTTCCATGCATGTGTTTAATGGCCAGGGTCATAAGGTGAAGTAACTTGATGCATGCAAAAATCCACTAAATGAATTGAAGTCCAACAAACATTAAGGTCTGCTTGACAAAAAACTTATATAATATGCCCATATATAGCCATGATGTGCCTTTATATGGTCTTGGCATGTTGCATGTTTTGTCAAATAAAATTTGAAATCTAGACACAGCTGTATAATGTCACAATTTATTAGCTACTTTATACATTATTAAATTTCACAAATATAGTATTTTATTTATTAATTAGCATAATTTTTAAATACAGTAGTCATGTAGGAATGGCTACTATATGGGCCTCTTTTACAGCCATGTTTTATAGCTATGTTTTTAATGGCAATACATTAAGCAAGTGTTTGCTTTTCCTCAAAAGTTAAACTAAGGTAATGTTTTCTGTTGGTCTCCATAAAAAAAAAAGGAAAGTTAGTGTTGTATTCACTGCTGAACGTACGAGAACGAGCTGTCAGCCCATCCTACTAAGCCTCGGAATTGTGTGGTTGAATGTCCAGTTTCTTTCCATGCCGCCTTTTAAACTTCCCCAGTTTATCTCAACAAGATACCCATTCAGTGGCATATTAAAGAGACCAGAGGCCCCTGGACAGGGGCCCTTTGGGGCCCTAAGACGCTGGGGGCCGGAGCCCACAAAGGGCCTCCGGTGGGGACCTTGGGGCAAGGCCTAATAACATTCTAAAGAATTAAATAAAACTGAAGCTGAATTTAATAAGTTATAAGTTCCACTAAGGAAAAGATGAAAACAAATATTTGTTGATTTATAGATTTTTAACAACGAAAAGCCTACCAATTTCCCAACAAAATAAATGGTCTACTAATAGAATAAAAGAATGGTATTAAATTTGCTTGTTAATTGCAATAAAAATATTTTCTAGTTCGAATCTTCATTAAGGGCTAAAATATGGAATGGAAGTGATTCAATATAGAGTTGGAAGTTTAAATGTTCCTCCACACTAGTGACAGTACCTCTACAGTCAAAACCATATTTTTACAGTGGTCTCCTTTAAAATTTTCTTTGTGCAGCTGCTAATTTCTAGATGTTCACATAAAATAAGACAATGGCTTTAAATTCTCACCCCCCCAAAAATTGTATGAAACTAAAGAAAATGCTAGCTGGGGATGATGTGAATATTCCTCCCAGTGCTTATAATTGCCGCAAGTCAAATTGGAAACGGGAGCCGACAGCTCCGAAGGAGCCTAATTTCTTCACAATTTTGCCAGTCCAACAAAGCCTGGAGGCCTCTGTCAGGTTAACCTCCCTGGATATCACCTGAGGGCAGTGCTGACCTAAAATGCAATGATCTCATTCGGGATCAGAGTGCGCCAATTTTAATATCACTTAATATGTTTTATCACAGTATCCCATATCAATTTAGTAACTCCCTGACCCTGCTACAAAATAACATACACCTGCACAATTAGGCATAGTTTGCAGACTTGCAATAACATAGAACTTTAAATGTTTGAACATCATACACTGTTTGCTAAAAAAATTGATAATATCTAAGGTGAAAAGGGTGGAGAATAAAGTTGGCAGGAGAGAAAAAAAAACAGTTGGGCTGTTTTATAGAAAAATTTGTTCCAGGAGGATTTGCTCCAATATCATGTACAAATACTGATCATGGGTGGATCAACAGGGAGAAAAAAAACTCACTAAAATCTCCCTGATTTGACTCCAAAAAATTAAATTCTTCTTTCTTAAAATATATCTTGAAAAATCTTGCCCTCTATGCACTCTGCTTATAGTGTTGACATTTTGTAACCCAGATTTCAAAGAATATTCAACTACTATAGTATCACAAACTAATAAATCTCTGTCCACACACTATCAAATTTTACGTGACAAACGTGTGTAATGTGCCGGTTTATGGGCATGATGATGTCATATTAGGCCCCGATTATGGGCATATTACAGTTATTTGTCATCTAAATGGACAGAGCTTAAGAACTTGAGGCCTAGTTCAGACTAGGTGGAAAAACCCGGCTTAACTCACCGGGCTTATCCACGTGCCAGTCTAAACTAGGTGACTTATCTCAAGGCGGGCTGTGTTCCTATAGTAACTAGGCCTGGTGCGCCACCGTGTTTAACTTTTCTAAGCCAGGCTTTAATCGTTGCAGGGGGTCTTGCATTGACTTTGGGTAACGAAATGACCAATTAGCATTCAATTACGTACGCTGTGAGCGAGCGTACGTTTCGCGAGCAATGTTTTGAAACACGTTTCCTGGTTACAGTTCATTATTATGTAAATTCTCACCTGGCTAAACCCGCTAGTCTGAACGCCAGGCTGAGTTAAGTCGGGCTTAACGTTGAACCGGGCTTAACGTTGAACGTTAAGCCTGGCTTAACTCAAGCCTGGCTTATCTCCAAGTCTGAACATAGCCTAAGAGCTTGATGTATGTGAACAAAAAGTAGGTTTAAGTGACCTGCCAAAAACGGTTTACATTTTGATTTACCGATAAAGTTAATTGATTTGAAATGTTATAACAAGAAGGTGAACAAAATGGACTTTTCAATTTCGAAATTGATCAGTATTTAATGCAAACTTAATTCAACTTGCTATTTTTGTTTCAAATTTCTAAATTTAGCCTGCAACTCATCGATGGAAAATGCTCCATCGAAGTGTGAGCTAAAAGTAGGAGCATGTTGCCTAAAGGCATGATACTCAAGACATGGCTTTGCCAACAAAACAGTAAGCGATACACGTGTTTGTTAGTCAATATAATCGCAAAGCTGATATCGGTATATACCCGAGAGAGCGAATTCTCAGGCCTCCGTTGTTCTTTCTGATATCTGCTGAAGGTAAATAGCAGGATGAGAAAGGAATTGTGTGTGGCTTCATTCTACCCTTTCATACTGTAAACAAAAAATCCTAAGGTGTGTGTCCCTTCTGATGGTGCCTGTCAAATATGATGTTGATATCATATGAAGGACTGTCATTACAAGTTAAGTTATATAGAGGAGATGGAATAAAGGCAAATTTTTGAAAAAAAAAAGAAAAAATAAAATCCTTCTATTTTCAATTTCTGGATCTACCTCGGCCACTGGCCTTTTCTTATCGGCATTTAGAGGTCATTGCAATGCTTTTTAATTATTCAGTAAACCATTATAAAACAAACATTCCAATACAGTTAAGCAGTTAAAGTTGACTTTGCCTAACTCAAAAAAAAGAAAAAATAAAATCCTTCTATTTTCAATTTCTGGATCTACCTCGGCCACTGGCCTTTTCTTATCGGCATTTAGAGGTCATTGCAATGCTTTTTAATTATTCAGTAAACCATTAAAACAAACATTCCAATACAGTTAAGCAGTTAAAGTTGACTTTGCCTAACTCAAATAATTTCTAAGTCGATCTTATTTTACATGCCAAATTGTTGTGTTTTTCATTAATTAACAATCTGCAAATTTTATCTAAGGTCTAAAAAAAAATGTTATGTTGGCATAACCCAACCGACCCTAAAAAAATCGGCCAACCCTAGATATTTTTATTTAAATTTTCAAGATTCAAATTTACGTTAGCAAAGTAGGCGTGGTCGGGCGGCACTCATAAAAGTAACATAAGAAAAACAAAACACCTTACCGAGACCTTTTTTAAACTTTGCTTAGCGAACCTGAACTGCAAATGATTAGGAATAGAAAATAAAATTTTATTTTTGGCCAATTAGTGCACCTGCTGCCACGAAAAAGTTTTTCTTTATTTTTGTAATCACCAAAGATAAGATGTATATTTCTTCCTAATTATATAAATTTGAAGCATTTAAACATCCTATTTTACATTCACTGATAAAATTTTATTTTATTTTCTCTTCCATCTGGATGCTTTTGGCAAAACTATTTGCTAAATAAGAAAACAAATTTTATTTTATTTTTATTCTGCCCTCATCTGATGATCTTTAAAATAAAAAGTACGCAAAACAAGGAATAAAAAAGTCTTGCCCTCCCTACCCTATTTTTTGGGGCCCATCGAACAATTTTTCAATGCCATTTTGGATTCCATGTAGAACTACGTAGAACCCCGTAATCTACGACTGTCATTGTAAAACATAAATTTTCCTGTACACTAAACCTGTCTCTTATACACATCTAGATGTGTATAAGAGACAGGTTCAGACTAGGTGGAAAAACCCGGCTTAACTCACCGGGCTTATCCACGTGCCAGTCTAAACTAGGTGACTTATCTCAAGGCGGGCTGTGTTCCTATAGTAACTAGGCCTGGTGCGCCACCGTGTTTAACTTTTCTAAGCCAGGCTTTAATCGTTGCAGGGGGTCTTGCATTGACTTCGGGTGACGAAATGACCAATCGCTGTGAGCGAGCGTACGTTTCGCGAGCAATGTTTTGAAACACGTTTCCTGGTTACTGTTCATTATTATGCAAATTCTCGCCTGGCTAAACCGGCTAGTCTGAACGCCCGGCAAAGTTAAGCCGGGCCTAACGTTGAGCCGGGCTTAACTCAAGCCTGGCT